CCTGGGGTTGTCACTGTGCTGAAGGGGAGCAGGGAGTGGGGAGGCCACGTGTGCTGACCCAGAACCTCAGGGAGCCCTGTCTGTGCGTGCAATGATTTGACTGGGACACTGACACTGTAGCTCGAATGAGCTCACTCAGGATGTCACCCAGGAATAGGAATCTGCAAGGTGTGCTCCTTACTGAACTCAAGCGTACACAGCAGACGTCACCACCAAGTGGGAGGGAGGGAACGGTCCTGGCTATTGGAAGGGAGTTCCCAAGATTCAAGGCGTGGTCCCATCCCCACTGGAGCTGGATAGCCAAGGTAGAGGCAGGTAAAGGACCAGACCTTATCCCCAGAAAGTCCACAGGAACGGCCCAAGGCTGACTTGGTCCACCAAGGAGCTCTGTCTGTCTCCTCCCTGGCCAGTGCACCTCCTGCAGTCACCCTGTCTGTCAGTGAGGATGGTGTGGTGCGACGATACACAAAGCTTCCGGCAGAGCTTTCCGACTCAAGCGGACTAAGACAAGGCCAGCAACGGCCTAGTGGATCACAGCAGTTTGATCCACAGCCAGTCATACAATGGCGAAGGCCAGGCAGTATTTCATTCCGTTTGTGTGGTGTGTCCGTGAGTCCGGGGTCAACTCAGGGGTAGCTAACCACAGTAACAGCTACCACCAGAGTGGCTATGATGAGCTGCCTGGAAAGTGGTGAGCGTCCCATCGCAGTAAGTATGCAAGGAGTGACGCTATAGAAAGAGATCATCCCTCCACTGAGCAAGAGCTTGGATCAGATCGCCGATTAGGTTCATTCCCAACTCCCAGATTTAATGAGCTTTGACGGTAAGCATCCCAGACCTTCAGTTAATGGTGGACTAGCCCTTGGATTAGTGGGCAAAGGGGGACAACCTAGAAGGGTTATCAAGGAAGAACCTTGAACTTGGAACCAAAGACACAAGAGGTTCTAATTCCTCCTCTTGGGTAAGTTCTACTTCATCTGTTTGGGCCTCTGTTTCCTTTTGTGTAAAATGAGGGTAGCGATACCTGTCCTGCCTAACCTGTAGAAGACCTGGGGGTTGGGGGCGGGGAGGCAGGGACATGAGGTCCATAGCCCTACAGGGGACAACACCAGAGACACAGTGTGGGAATTGTGCCCGATCTAATCCCGCCACACTGAGGCAAAACAATAAGGGGGTGCAATAGAACAGCAAGGGAACGGAGAGGCGAGGTCCCCAGGGAATGCTGAAGGTGGACTTTGGGGGCATGAGGTAACGGTTGACAATAGACGTCACAGTGATGGCATGCCAGTGGGCAAAGTATGCATATGCCCCACTCTTACAGATCGACGCCGCCTCCTTGATTGCTGCCTCCGTGATGGCCGCTCCTTGTGCTTTGGCCCTCTCCAAGCTGGTCTACCCGGAGGTGGAGGAGTCCAAGTTTAGGAGTGAAGAAGGGGTGAAGCTGACCTATGGGTGAGTACGGTAGGAAGGCCTGCAGAGGGGCTGCGGGAGGGCGGGTGCCGAGGTGAAGGGTCACACTCTGTCCGGATTTCTCTATCCATCACTCTCTTCCACCCAAGCGAAGGCCTCCTCCTCTCTGTCACTTCCCAGCATGCATCTTCTCCTTGGAAAACGGAGACGCCAACCCCTACATCTGAACTTCCCATCTCTGGCCAGCCAGAAACAACAGACTTGTCAAGGCAGGGGAGGGTAGCCAGCTCCTTGGGGCTGTGGCTTGGAGTGAGTACTGGGGGTGCCACACCGAGGCGCCATGTCACCTTCTTGCCAAGCCTGGAGTTGTGCCCACCTCTGTGTGCCCATCCCCTATTGAGCCCTGCCCTTTATGTCAGCCTCCACCTGAGCCCCTCTCTGTCACTGTCTTAACGTCTGCGTCACATTTAATCCATAAA